TGAAGGAGGCAGAGATGCTATTTGGCATGGGGGGGGGGGGCACTGTTAAAAAAAACTACTCTTCCCTCAACAGTTAAAAGAGGGATTATTGGAGCAAGTGGCAGGCGGCTGCTCCACCATTTAGCATACAGCACACCCAGGCAATTTCATTTGGTAATCAGGAGGAGAGGAGGGAAAAAGAGCAATCAGACCCCTATTCAGGCTCCGTTTAGCGACAGCCCCTGCTGGCTGGGCTGGTCCCACCTAGCCTGAATGCGGGTGGGGCACCATGTCTCAGAAGCAGCAGTCCTCCTTTGTGTGTGTTTCAAGGTTTTGCTTCTGTGCTAGGGGCTCCATCCTGGGGAGAAGGATGCTGAAAGGAGTTAGCCTTGACCCTCTGACTACTCACAACTCCCTCCAGCCCCAACCACCTAGACCCTTTTAGGGCGGACACAGATTAGAAACAAAGCTCATTACAATTCTGGCAGGTTGTGCACTCAGAAGGGGGAGGGGAAGTGATTGTGTTTCTACGCAAGTGCCCAGAACATGAGGATCCAGCTGTGGCAATCACTGGTACCCAACTCCAGCATCTGATGTCTTTTGCCCTCGGTAAATGCTCAGGTAAGCATCTTCTCTTGGAAAACCATCCCATCTTAGTTCTGGCTTTGAGAAATGGGGGAAGAGTCACAAAATTCTCAATAAAAAGAAAAGTGATTGAAATTAACTTTCAGGAAGGCATACCAAGGCCACGCAGTGGTGTTGAGCATCAATCAAATTAACTGGAGGAGCATGTCAGCTTCAGAAAGTAGGAGAGATGGGGAGTGGGAAACTGGCAGGCACCACACAACAGTGCTTGTATTGTAATAAGGGCCTGGCCCCTGTCACCAACGCCTACCACTGTACTCCACTGCAGGTTCCCAACTTCTGAAAACTTCACAGTTGAGACTCAAGACAAGCAGCTTGTGGTTTGTACACCTGCCTACTTCAGCAGGAATAGATGGCTGGCCCACATAATGAGATTTTGGACTAGAGGTCAGCCAGCGAGGCCTTCTCCATCTTTCCCTGGCCCCACCCTACCTGGCCCCAACAGGCTGACACCATGCAAAATGAACCCTTCAGGGAGACTAGTGCTGCAATGCATACACCTTGGATATGAATCAATTCTTCATGACCATAAGATTGTTGAGAAATTCAATACATGCACATTCATAACTAAGAATGGATTAAAAATGAGCAATCAAGTTTAAACTCATTTCAAGGTAATGACAAACTCTCAATGATGCATGAGGGACCTGCTCTCTGAAGGGATCTCAGCATACCTCCTCGTTGCCCAGTGAGCTTCAAGGCTGCTCTTAACAAGAACATACTAAGCAAGCACCAGGTGAATTTGCTGTGCCATAGCTGAACAAAATCCCAAGGCAGATATGTATACATAGATATAGATATAGAAGATAAATATAGAGATAGAGATATAATTTTAGTATCATTTTCAATCACCTGGACTCTGTCCTCCAAAAGCATGACTGAAAAGGCAAGACTAAATGGCAACATGAACAAATCTGAAGTTAAGCACCAAAACATTTTATTCATAAACATAACACCTAGAAGTGAAAATCTGGGCGGCTCCTCCCTCCATGGTACCAAAATGTTCAATGTGACCATTAATTGCACTGGGAGTCTTGGAATGAAGAACAAAGTCTTCCCATGCAGGTTGTGTGGAGCCGAGTCCGTAGTCAGACCTAAGAGCCGTTCACCACACAAAGGAGAAGACACTGTGTCCAGGACCTCTTACCCCTAGGCCCAGCTCTCCCACAGCAACTATCTCTGGTGTCCTCTGGGTCTCACCCAGAGAAGACACCCAACAGGGCATAAAAATAGACCAAAGTCTATAGGAGAGATGGGCCCTCTGTGCATTCTTCCTGAGGTGCAGTATGGAGACATTTGGGAGCCATTGGGCCATAGAAAGCCACACAGTCCAAGCAAACATCAACACCACCAGCATGCTAGGAACTAATGGACCACAGAGAGTACCTCCAACAGGCCCTGGCCACATCCATCTGAAGCTGCAGGAACCCACTCAGCTCTTTCTGCTCTTGAACTGCTGAAGCATGAAGCACAAACGAGTCTTCCACACCAAATGCAAGCCCTCGTGCAATCAAATGGTAGGGCCCATCTCACAAACTGGGACAATCAGATGTCTGGCACACAGGACTGACTGCTGGAATAAGTCCCCTGGTTTCAGTTTGTGACCTGCGCAATTTAAAGGAGGTTGGGGGTAGGGGAGGAAATAGATGTCTCCTCACTACCCGCTATCTTCAGGAAAATGGACAGGCACTTGTTTGGCTATTTATCTTGTTTAATGCAGATCTATTTGACACTTAGCAGCTGCTGTGATTTTTTCCCCCTTAATATGTCACAGGTGAGTTTTTCCTATTTACTCTAAAAACTAACATGTGTGGGGAGAACAGGTATTCTCTAAGAGCCTGTGGTGCATTTTTGTGATTGATTAGACATGATGACAATTACCAGGATCAACAGGCTCCAACTTCTCAACAGTAAATTCTGGCATTTCCCCAATAGCTGCCCTCACTTCAGCCTTTATACTGCTCTGTTCCAAGCTGACTAGTGTTCCTCTTACTACACCATTTATTTTTTTCTATTTACATAGAGGAGAATCAATGAGCTAAGCTGTGTGTTTGCCTTCTACAGATAGAAGTATCAATCGATAGCCGTGAGAAGATCTGAACCCTGTAAAAAGAAGTATTATTAAAACATACACATTGCTTTTAGCTATTAAAAATGTATCTTAAATCTGCTTCAGAGAAATTCTGCTGCAGACCACACACATACAAAAAACAGAGAGAAGACAAATTGTATACACATACAGTATACAGAGTCTTCCTGCAGAAAAGTGCTGATCCAGACCTGCCCAGAGGAAATGAGTTCTTTTTAAACACAAAAAATGCAATCAGGGATAATCAGCAAGTTAACAACACACTTGCAGACACCCTGGTCCCTAGAAAGGAAGAATGCCAGCTTTCAATACACGTTCTGAGTACTGAACAGATCCTTTGGGCGAATGAAAAACAAGTGATCATGTCAGCGTCTTCAGGGAGAACTTTCTCCAAAGCCAAGAAGCTTTGGAACAGCAGTCAGCTCCAGAAGGCACCTGCTTGTGAGAAGTGCTTGGATAACATCATTCCTGAAGTGGTTTTGTGGGTTGGGATTGGTTTGGCCCCACCTCCCCACCCCTTTTTCCAATGGGTTCAATGGCAGAAAAAAAAGAAGCCAGAAAAGGATGAGAGGCAGCTCCTGCATCTGCCTGTCCTGTAGCCCATCCAAAGGAAGGAAGGTGCAAACCCCAACCCAGTAGAGGAAAGAAGCAGCAGAGACCCAGGGATGCTCCTGTGATCACCCACACATGCCCTACACGAGGCCTCCAAAAAGACCTGGAAGGTGTCCTAGTCTCCAGCACTTTTCACCTGTGAAATGAACTTAGTTTTGATTTAAAAAAATTTTAATGGCCACTAGTAACTAAGGTTCTTACCAACTACAACCAGCTTGAGGGGTTCAGCTGTTCTAGGAAAGTTTGAGGAACACCTGCAGACATTATTTCTCATTACAAATTTCAAGGCAGTGGAACCTCACCTCAATGAGGAGATCCTAGGAGTCAGGGCTAAGACATTTACTGGACCCCACCTATGTGATCTCCTTTGACCTGCTGGTTCTCAATCTTGGCTGCACAATAGAATCACCTGGGGAGCCTCAATCATATATAGAGGCTTGGATCCTACCTCCCCGGCTTCTGAATAAATTGGTCTGGGCTATGGCCTGAGAGTCTTTAAACTCATCCAGGTGATCCTAATGTGGAGCCAAGGTTGAGCATCACTATTCTGCTCTATACCATCCCACTGCCACCATGAAAACATCAGCATGAGATGGCAACACAGATATGTCTAGAAGAATCCAGGGCCTCACTCAAAAAGGATAACAGAAAATGCACCTTCTTTGCTTCTTCCTCATCCCACCTCCCTACACATACCCACATGACCAGTTCTCACATACCTGGTCTCTTCAATGGTCCTTCCTACTGAAATCTAGGCATTGAGTGAGTCCAGCAGTCCAGGAATCTCGATTTTAGGTCAAGTCTGGGCCACTTCTCAGATCTAATCCCAAACAGTTGGAATTTGGTGAATAAGGTGAGGGCAACCTACACCCTTGGGCACAAACCCCTTCTTCCCTCTACCTGGGAAGTTGTTGTTGAACTTGGGACTTTCTCCAAGGCTATGCTGAGTATTGCTGGCTCCTTCAGTGGCTTGGCTGGACAAGGGTTGTCATCTTCTGTGCTTTCCTGTACCATTCTCATACATGGAGAGGAGGGGACATGAAAGAAGAACTCCATATGAAAAATCCTAGTGCTAGAATGAAGAAGAGAGATGGTCCATCCCCAGATGCCTCCTCCACCCTCTATGGGCCTCTCAGCAGATGTGGGAACAACTGAAGGGCTGGGTTTACAGTGGGGTCAAGCATGGACCTGCACTCCATCCATCCTGGTTCTTCTTTGCATAGGCATGCCTTCTGCTGGGGATTATAAGGAGGAAGCAATGGGGAGTTTCCCATCCCTCCCCAAGGGTCCATCTCTCAAGGGATCTGGAGGGACAGAGATAACCACTTTGCCCATTTCTATCTGGTTTCTTGCCTTATGTTGATCCTGCTAAGCTGTGCTTCGATGGAAGGAGTGAGCTGGGCTGGGCACAGATAATGCAGTCACTCCACCCAGCCCTTTGAATAAGAAGCCCATGACTGAATAGCCAGGACTCTCTATCTGCTGAGATCTGATGGATTTTCCATTGAGAGCAAGAAAAGGAGCTTTACTAACTCCTTTGGAAAAGGACCCCATTATCTACCATGCAGCTAAAGGTGCACATTAAAGATACAGCTGGTTTCTATCAGAGCTCTTGCTCTTCACCCAACCCAGTAGGTAGGTTCTAAGAACAGAGGAATAGGGAAGAGGGTCTTACCTTCTGAGCAGAGCTTGCCACCATAGCCAGTAGTAGAACAGTCACAGGTGGGATGGCCATCCAGGAGAAAGCAGATCCCACCATTTTCACAGGGACGGTCACCACATGGTCCCTCAGCATCCAACTGGACACCCTGGCTCCCCAGAAGCCGAGGCTCTGAGTTGCCGTACTTGAGATCCAGGATTAATCCCTTGAATCCAGGCATGGTCTGTACTCCCTCTAGGGTCAGGGCAGAAGGTCGTATGTCTGCAGGGACTCCGCCCAGAAACAAGTCACTGACCACATCCATGTAGGGCCGCTGAGGCTGTAGCTCCCCAGACTGGCCCTCACCATCCAGCACCAGCAGTGTACGCAGGTGGTCCCGGCTCACCATGAGGAAGTGCCAGCTGCTGTCATTCACCTGTTTGTTGGACAGCACAGCGGTCTCAGCACAGTCCATGCTGAGGCGCAGCTGCACGCGGCCATCCACCAGGGAGAGGCAGAGGAAGTCGCAGACGCCACCATCGTCCAGGTAGAGGAGCAGCCCTGTGGAGACGTTGGTCTTGAACTGGAAGCTCAGGTCACTGCGTGTGCTGGCATCCCAGCGGAGGTAGCGGGCCCACTGGTTGGGGAGGCCCATGAATTCAAGGCCCAGGCAGAGCCCCAGCAGGGACCCCAGCAGCACGCTCACCTTCAGGGTGAAGAACACTGAGTGCATGGTGAAACTCATTGTGGCTGCCAGGACTGAGCCTCAAGGTTCAGACAGCTGGAGACAGCCCTCAGGAAATGACCCCTCTTTGCAGAGAAGGGAGAGGGGCAGAGGAGATGGGTGGGGGGACAGAGAGCACACAGGAGGAAGAAGTTGCAAGCACAACTATTGAGAGGGTGAGGAAGGAGGAAAGTGAAGAGGACAGCCCCAGATGGGCACACAAGCAAGAAATTCACAAAAGAGGCAGAGGAAAAAGACAGGGCAGCAGAAGAGGAGGAAAATCAGGTGGGTCAGTGAGGGCCTGGAGTGAGGAGCCAAGTGACTTTCTCCAAGAAAAGATCTCAGTTATCCATGTGGATCTGGAGGCCTTGATTCAAAGAGGAGAAGGTGCCCGGTAGATGAAAGCCTTCAGCAGTGCACTCCTCCCGTTGGACCCCAAAACACCCCAGCCAGGGAGGCCAGGGACAGGGCTGGGGTCCGGGGTACCGTGATGGAGGAGGAGTGAGCAGTAAGGTGAGCCAGGTGAAAGGTAGAAATGGGTCAAATACCAGTCCTGAAGTTCTACCCCCCTAGCAGCAGGGTGCTGCAGGGAGAAGGGCAGCTGGAAGCAGAGTGCTCAGGCAGAGCAGGGCCCAGGGCAGAGCAGAAGCAGACTCAGGCTTCATGGTGTGGGCCAGAGGCAGTCCTGCCCATAACCTGCTTCCCAGGATTCCAGAAAAAGACCTGCGGAAAGACTGGGGATGGGGAGGAAGGAGAAAAGGAGAGGAAGATTAAGGCCTGTATCAGGATAACACTGCATCCTATTTCACAAACATTGATGGAGTGTGGACTGTGGGCCAGGCTATCCTAGTGATTCCCACAGCACTTGGAGCTTCCAACAGGAAGGAGGCCCAGGGTTCTTCCAGGGCAACTGCAGGACCCAGAGCTCAGCTCCTGATGATGTACTCAGTTTTCACATATGCAAAAATGGCAGAACCCACCCCACAAAGCCTTATCTGCACATTTTTACCATATTCATATCACAGGATCACATAGCCAAAGTTATTTTTAAGTTAAGCGCTAACATTTTATGCATTCAAATACACATAATTTTAACTTATTTACCTATTAAGAGACATGAAAATGACTAAGATATTTTTAGATTCTTTAAAATTGGATTATGCTTGCACGTAGGTGGCTTAAGACAGATTCCCACCTTTAATTTTTGAAAGAAATATTTGTAAAAATCAGTGAAAATAAATTAGAAGGTGAATAATGAGCAAAAAATCCTCATCTTTTACTAAATGTTAGAGGAAAGGTTGAAATATATGTTTTAGGGCTGAGTTTGAATACTTGTTCTTGTACGTGAAAATTTAAGTACATTTTAAAAACTATTTAAGCTTCTATTTGCTCATGTATAAAGTAGAGAAAATAGTAGTCTCTTTCCAAGGAAGATCTTAGCATGAGCCTATATACATAGTAGGTGCTCAGTGAACAGTAGGTCCCTTCCTTTCTTATTTCCAGAGAGGAAGGGATGAGAAAAACAGTTATTGATGTATGACATATGTGTGGGTGTGTGTATGTCTGTGGAGGTAGGAACAGTACATTAAAACACAAATACTTTTTAAAAATTCATGGCAACTGCAGAATGGATAACAAATGAATAGTTAAGGAATGTTACAGGTATAGGGCATATCACATGCATTCTATACTGGATGGAAAGCCACCAGCATCCAGTCAAGTATGTGCTCTGGTTTCTGAAGGCAGACCCCAGCCCCCCTAGCTATGTGGAGACTCTTCTGTTCCCATGAGAGCAATGAGAGTAATTGCCAAGAGCTGTGCAAATTGCTGCTTGTTAATTGACGTATTTGATAATTCACCCTGGTCTCTATCAGACCATTACTGTTCACTATTTTTATGATGACCACATTAGCAAAGCTAGTCATTGCCTCTGCTTTGAAGAGGAAAATGCCATTCCTTAACCAGAAACAAACACCTATTTCCACTGAATTTAAAAAAAAAAAACTATCAACAACAGACTGACTGAACCCATCATAAGGAAAGCCTTTGTTCTGTAAAAGGTCTTGTCCACACATTGTATCCCAAAATGCAGTGTGGACACCCCTCGTGGTGCAACTGATGCTTAACTTGAACATAGATGCAGTGATATGGAAGTGCCACTCACGTGGGCTGGTGAGAACCAACTGTTAAAATTCAGAAATGTTTGAGCTGGTTGATGTCACTTTGGTAGCATGAAACCAATGATGCTAGGAGTATTCATACCATGGAAACAGGCAAACACCATAAATCAGAGTCTTTGGGAAGGTTTGATTTAAAGAAAGCCTTGAAAGTACGTGAGGGAATTAGTCATGTAAATATTGGAGAAGAATGTTCCAGAAGCAATACTCCAGGCAAAGGTCTTAAGAGCAGAGCAGGCTGGTATGTTGGAGACTGGTGCTGTTGGAATAGAGTGAGTGAAAGACCAGAGGTGAATGTCAGGAGGCTAGATGATGACACAGGACCCAGTCTCTAAGAATGTGCCCATTGTGTGATGGGAGGTATGCAACCAAGGCAAAAGGCAACATCCCAGGGGGGAGCAATCCTTGTCCTGAAAAGAGGGCTCCCTCTGGTCTCAATAACTGCGACATCTACATATTTCCTTAAATAAAATTATTGAAAAGGGTCCACTTTTGGAAAATGTGTTCAGAGGACAGCTCCTCCCCTTTCTCCTCTTCCAAGTCATGCATTTGATTTAGACCAGGGGGAAGCAAGGCAGGTGTGAGCAGAAAGAAGATGCCTCTTGCAAGGGGTACCCCAAGCCTGGAATTACTGATAAGCCAAGGATGTAAAAATCATGTGGTATATAATAGAGCCCAGGGTGTATGAGAAAGTGTTTTCACTTTCTGGGAAAGTGACCACAGTGACACTATCCTGGCTGCTCCACTTTCCTCTCCATTCCTCATCCTGCCCATCTAGACCAGACTCCTCTGGATGATAGGCAAAACCCAGGTTCAGATGGTTAAATCCAGTGGGACCCTCAGAGGGAAGCAAGGATATTCCAACAAAGGGCCCAGTATTATGGATGAGCAGGGACATGGGAGATGCTCTAAATGAACAGTCCCAGAAACTTTCTGAAACTGCTGTGTACTATCAACTCATCTATGGGCCTCTGAAAGTCACTTATTTATCTGCATAAATTAAATGGCATGCTGGATTCAATCCATCTATTGAGCTCTGATTCCTTGCAGCCACTGCTGTATCAAAGCAGAGTAAGAAACCATTCTCACCCTTGAGGGCATCAAAAAGGAGTGGGGGCAAGTGTACTTTAGAGACACAAAGCACAGTAATGAAGAGCCCTGGCTTGGGAAGATTGATGGGGAGATCCTGGGCAGAGTCTGCTTCACCATGGTGCTTGCCACAGGACCTTGGCATGGAGTGGCAGCTCAGGAAACCCATGTAAATAGAGTGAAGCATAAAAACAGAAGCCAAAGTGCATCCCTGTGGATCATTTGACTTCTGTTCCATGCAGTGGCCTCACCCTGCTTTACACAGTGGCAGCAATCCTGAGCCCCCAGGCTTCTCCAGATGCCAACCTTAGATGACCCCAAAGGGCAAAGTAGTACAAGCCTAGCAATCTGTTAAAAAATTAAGCTGCCCAGGAACACTTCCCTGTGTGGAGAATCATGGAAATTTTCCCAGCCTGCTCTGGGGCAACCATCCCATGCTGCCTGCTGAGCCTCTCTTGTCAAATTCACAGTCCTTCCCTTCAGCCCAGCCCAGCATTGGAGGCACCAATGTTCCCCTGTCTGCATTGTGGGCCAGGCAGAATCTGATTTTAAAACTAGTTACATCAGAATTGGGTTTATCTGGACATGATAGTCTAGGGTCTATCACATTATCTCCTAAAGCCCTTCCATTTATTTCCTGGTTTTTGGACATTCCTGTGGCTTCTGGGAAATTGCCAAAGTGGCCAAAAGCTGAAGATCACCTTATATTAAATATCACAGGCTCAAGCCAATGGCCCCAGGCATTTATCCTTTAGCCTTCTTTGGTCCTCTAAAGGGCACGATAAGGCTCAAGACATGAAAAAACGGGAACCAGAGAACCTTCCCCACCCAGTCAGCCAACTACCACCCTCTCCTGAGCCACAGAATGGCCCAGGCAGCTGCAGGTATAGGTGTTTGCCCCAGAGCCTACAGAGTATTCAAGCTGGAGCAGACACTCAAAAACGGTTATCTGTGGTGTGGAAATCTAGCAGGAGAGGAAAAGTGAGTGACATTATCTAATTGCCAGCTAATTTACATAATTATTGAACGGCATGCTTTTTATGTGGGGTTAACATCTTTGCAAATGTCTCACTATCTGGCTGCTTAGGAGGCGGGGGGCGGGGCCAAACAGGACTGACACATGGGCTATGTACCAAGGCATGGCCCCCTCACTCCAGTGCCTCTGCTCCCTTGAGACAGACCCTGGAGACAGTCAGGCCTGTGTCTAGGACCAGGGTAGGTGCTGAAGGCACGATGGCGACTCTCCTCATGCCTAGCTCTTGCTGGTATGCCACCATCCCCCGACTGCATTGGCCAGCTTTTCCTCTAGAACTTTGCAGTAGCCCCGCTTTCACCACACCCCTCGCTCCACTTAGAAAGTAAAATGATTTTCACCAGAAACCACAGTCCAGGTCATTCAGGTGGGGTTCATCCCAAACCCAGATCCCACAACCAGTTTGGCTGCCAATGTGATTACTTCAGGAATGGGCCTCTCACCCAAACTGAGTCACATTACAGTTAACTCTGAAACTTTTGCTGGAATTATTGGGAGAAAGGGCCTCTCTACTTAGCCTGTTGTCGGACTATCATAATTCCAGAGTTCATGACCAATACTATTATTATTATGCAGGATGATCCTGTCTAAGAATGAAGTCAAATAAGAAAACAAAGCCAAGAGATAGAGAGGGAGAGAGAGAGGGAGAGAGAGAGAGAGAGAGAGAGAGAGATGTTTTAGCACCTAGATGTAGCCTAGCCTGAAGCCCATTAGATCCGGGACTTCTATTACATGAACTATTTTTTTCTTTCTTTTTTTTTTTTTTTTTTTTTTTTTTTTTGCTTAAGCAAGTTTGAGTTCGGTTGTGACCAAGAGTCCTGACTGATACTAGATCTTCAAAAACATTGTCACTGACACAACAACAGAAGCTTTCCTCTTACATAACCACCCATACCTACCAGAACTTCCTGGCACCGAAAACATATGGCAGATGTCTCACCCGCACTATAAATGCTCTATACCCTCAATGTTTATGTCCTAGGGCAAAGGCACAGGATGTGGGCATGCTCTTTCTCCAGGTGCTTTGGAGGGAGATGTAGGTTTGTTCTTGCACAGCAGCCTCAAAGATTTATCCATCAACTAAACTATGGTTCTTCTGATACTACACCAATAATGCAGCCTCCCATATTCAGTCTTCTCTACCTTAATGCAATAGCAAGGGTTCTACTGCAGGCAGTGAGGGAGGTGAAGGCATGAATTCTCTCCAAGAGATGAAAGCAGCTTAGAGTAATGATGAAGAGCATCGGGTGGAGCTGGATTTAAATCCAGACTCTTTCCTATATCAACAGCCTTGGGAAGCTCTCTGAGCCTTTGTTTATTTATCCAAAAACGTGGGAATGATAATACTTACTTCACAGAGTAGATTTTAGCTTTATTAAATTTTAAAATGTACAGAGGCACTACTTTTGGGAAAACACATGGTAGTAGCTACCAA